GTCAATTTTCCAGAGAGTAGATAAAAAACAAGAAATGCTCCTAAACTAAAAGAATGTATTTTATTATCAAGTTTCGTTGCAATGATGTTGATTATCTTCTAATTAAATTTGAATCAACGCGAGAATTTAATTTTGAAAGTAGTTATATGTATTTCAAGTTGATTTATGAGTTTTATGCATTAATTCTATTTTCTACCCAACGGTGATGTAGAATTGATACAGAAGCACCTTGTTTATTTAACCGACGAAATCACTCGGCTGCATACCAACAGGCTGCAATGCTGGGCTATGTGAATGAAAAGGCTTGAGTCAAGCCAGTTCAGGACTATTTTTTTGTTAGTTTATTAATTTTCTAATTAAATTAGAATCAACAGAAAGATTTAATTGAAAAATAAAGTATAAGTGAATGTTTTTATGATAAGAGTTGCAATAAGTAACATGCATGTCTAATTTGACCAACGTTGGATTAAGCATGCGTGTTTGTATATAGATTTATCTCGTATGGGGAGAAATTTGGCATAGTACTTATGCTAGTCAATCCTGCATGGCGAGAGAAGTTTTGTGATGATTCACACGTTTCGTATCCCGCATAGCGAGAGAAGTTTGGGTAGCTCTTATATTGCCCTAGTATTGACCGTGGCACAATAGAAATGCATCATCATGGTCAATACTAACCAAAAGATAAGAAAAGATGCAAGCGTGACTTGCAAAAGTACCGCTAATAAAAGACCTCGTTGAGTTCTTGAAGTGAAATAAGGAAAGTGTACTCCTAAATGGATCAAGAAATAAGTTTGTTTACATGACATAATCATGTGAATGAAGTAAGTTATAAGTGTCTCCTTATTCACAGGCTTTCTGAATATTAAGATCAATTAAGAAAAATACTCTTCATTAAGAGTGAGATAAAGATCAATTAAGAAAGATACTCTTCATTAAGAGTGACATAAAGATTAATTAAGATGAAACCGTTAGAGGAGTACAACGGTCACAACAATGATACCCCTAAGCAGAGAAATAGATAAATTTCTAGACCTTTTAAAGTTCCGACAGAAAGATAGCGTAGTCAGCCTCAAAGATGTTAAGGTGGTGCTTAAAGCGCTATATGAGGTTTTAACAGATTAAACCTAAAATAAAATATTTGAAGATACACTATCTTTAGAAAAGATGAGAAGATCTGAGAGAGCATGGTATGTAGAGGTATGTAGAGACCTAAGACTTAAAGAGAAGAGAGACTACGTGCCCACTCCAGTGACTCAGGAGCAATAAGTTTCTCAATACCTATTGATGTTGTATGACTAATACAATAGCTCTTCGAAGAAGATGAATAATGTAAACAATGATCTTGTAATACAGGAGTCTGTAGAATCAATTGTCTCTTGGCAATGAAGAGCAACAATAGCCCCATATGAAAGTGCCAGTAGCTGAGGCCCTAGAAGGTCTCAAAGAATTAGTAAACTAGTTTTTCTGAAGACTGAAGTCTATGTTAGACTGTTAGTAAAGAAATTCAAATGGAGTGTGATCCCACCTCATTTGAAGAAGCCATGAGAAGCGTTTACTCGTTTAAATGGCAAAAAGCTATGGAAGTAGAAATAAATTTGATGAATACCAACAATGTTTGGGACTTAGAAGAAATTCATAATGGAGCCAAAACAGTAGGCTGTAAATGTGTCTATAAGACAAAATGTGACTCCAAAGGGAATATAGAAAGATATAAAGCACGGCTTTTAGTAAAATGTTTTTTGCAAAGAGAATGAATAGATTACAATGAGAGTTTTCTCTCCAGACTCATGTAAGGATTCTTTTAGAATCATAATAATGTTATTGGCACATTATGATTTAGAGTTACATTAGATAGGTGTAAAGACGGCATTACTCAATAGGGATTTATATGAAAACGTTTACATGGCACAACCCAAAGGTTTTGTCGTGGAAGAAAAAGAACGTATAGGATGCCGCCTGTAGAAATCCATTTATGGGTTAAAACGAGTCACAAAACAGTAGTATTTGAAGTTGGTAAAACAATGAGAAGGACAATAGCGTTTATGCGAAGTTCAAGAATGAAAAAATTATTTTCCACATTCTGTGAATAGATGACATTCTACTCACTAGTAGTGATGTTAATTTGTTATTGGAGAAGAAGAAGTTTTTGTCCTTAAGTTTCAATATAAATGATCTTGGTGAAGCGTCATTGGTTATAGGAATCGAAATTCATTGAGATAAAAGAAAATGGGTTATTAGGACTATTGTAAAGGCATATTTAGAAAAGATTCTAAAGAAATAAAGTATGCATGCGAGTAAACCTACGCCTGCTCCTATAGTCAAGGGTAATAGATTTGAAAACTTTAAGTGTTTTAGGAACCGATATGAGATCGATCAAATGAACATGGTTCCATATGCTTCAGCTGTTGAAAGCTTGACGAGTGTACAAGTACAAGTAAGAACTTACCCTGACGTAGTTTATTTATTTGGGTTATTTTGGCAGAAGTCCAGTCCATATATAGATCACTGGAATGGAGTTGAGAATGTCTTACAATTTTGCAAAGTATCATAGGCCTCATGCTGAGTAAGAAAGAATAAGTACTCTCAAATAGTTGAGGGTACAAATGTTAAGTCTTGGCAAGATATGTAGTGAAATCCACAGTAGTTGCTAATACTCGCAGTTGGAGTATTATTGTGGAAAACTCTAAAGAAATAGTTGTGGTGTCAAAAGTGATGCATACCATAGTATAGCTTGACATGAGGCTTAAGGAACAGGCAAAAGGAGGTTAAGGAAATTTGTACCCGGATTTAACAATGGTAGACAACAGCAACAACCATTTAAAGTAAGTTAACTGCTAAGACAACAGATCAAGTGTGCTGCCAAACACATTGACACTAAGTTATATGTTGTAAAGGAGAAAATCCAGAATCATTTTGAAAGCATTGAGCACATAAGTACCGAGTAAGTACTTGTGGATCCGTTTACCAAAGGCTTACCACCTAGTGCGTTCAGAGAACACACAGTCGATATGGGTTTATAGGAAAGCCTTTGATTTCTGGATACTAAGGGCCTAGTTGAGTATCTGTTTCAAAATAGATAGGTACATTGTAGCTGTTAAATCTAATGGCAACTGGCCGTGACGACGAGGCACGCTCTATGCACTGATCTGTGATGGAATGGAAAAAAAGAAAAAGAAAGTTAAGTTTAAGTCATAAGGTGAGATCAAGGGGGAGAATGTTAGGTTGATCTCCATCAATTGGCTGGCCCTTGATCCGCGCCCTGATCAGAGGCGCTCAGCATTTCTACTGGCTGATGGGCCCCCGTCGCGAGCGCCATAAAAGAACGGTGGGGGCTGGGGCACAAGACACGAGGTTCACCGCAGCCGCCAGCGCCCCACCATGTCCTAACCCTAGTCCGATCTAGAAGGGCGCGTTGTAAGTGACGGGAAGCGTCATCGCTTTCGCCGCTGCCACTGGACCACGTCTCCACGTCGCTGCTACCTCGTCGGCGGCACCATGGCCGCGACTGTGCCGACGTGAGGTACATCACCAAGTCTCCTATTAAGCTAAGTATTACCTACTGATCTACGTCTAGAAGTACTTTCAGTTCTATCAGTTTGTGCAAGGTCCCGTTCGCTAACCACTTCAGCTTTTTTGAGCCGCACCGGAGTCCACTCAGTGTTGTGCGCCGTGCAGGTCGTGGCTCCTAGGCCCGGTTCTACGGCACTACTTCAGCGAACGAACGAACACTGTTTTCCTCTCACAACAAATCAGTATAAGTATCAGCGTAAGCCAGGTTTGAGCGAAACGAACTGCAGCTTAATTGCAAACGGCATTGACACTTGCAAGCAATGCCGATGCCGGGTGCAGTACTGCAGTCTGTTGAACTGCACTGTTTGGCCCTGGTCCAGCACCTGCCTAATCTACTAATGAACGACAGACAACAATGTGGTTACAACGCTAATGCTGGCTCGTCTTGCATAATTCAGAGTAACCTCGAGCCAGCGCTGATGGACTGGAGGAGCGATGGTTCCTCTGTAGTCTGTACCCGAGGCGTACGGCTTCTTCAGCTTGTGTCGTCTGCACCGTACCGGAATGCAGCAGGCGTCTTCAGGACCGATTCCATGAGCGCCGTGAGATGCCTTCAGTTCAGGGCTCTTCGATGCGTTACACGGGCCTAGATGGCCAACTGATCTGACAGATGTTGTCAAAAAAAAAAACTGATCTGACAGATGCCTCCGACACTGCACGTGTCTAGACGGCGAGTCCTGTTAATTGCGATTAGGACGGCCACGACAGCGAACATGGCACGCCTGCGTGTCCCACTGCTGGCCAGCCGAACCACTACACGAGCTCCCGGCCAAGCACACCACACGAGCTCACAGGGACCATGCATAGGTTTGTAGCATCGTATGATTGAAGGCACTCACTGATTCCCTTCCAATCAAGCACAACAAAAGCGACGCGACCGGCGAGCAGCGAGCATGCATCACCGACGATGCCCGGAATGGACTTGCAGACTCTCATCTGTCATACACCTTGCCAATTTGGTTGCAAAATCTAGGTGGCAAACAAAACATCTTCAACTAAGTATATACAACAACATACTCCTTTCTTAAGCAATGTCTATAAGTTTGGGCACAGCGGACATCTGCAGTTCTAAAGTCTACATCATTAACAAATTGGTTTTACAAAGCACAAGGACTAATGATACAGTCACACGGTATCACACCAAACCACAAAGCATGAAGAAGCAGTATGGAGTATAAGCACTCTACCCGGGTCAATAAACTGACCGGACTGAATCTACATACAAATCCTCTATTCGACCGAACATTTTTTGCCAATGGCCAAAACCTATGAAGTCAAAATCACAGGCAATCTATCCGCCTACGAGACTGAAGCTCTGGATTAATGGATGTCAACACGGGCAACTCTGGCCATTGTGTGTTCATGTTCACCTACTATAGACACTCCTTCACGAGTGATAATGCTAGGTACAGCCGTACAGGTCTACAGCTTTACCACGGACCTGTCAATGTCCTCCGCAGACAAATTCTCTTTGCCGTGGGTCCAACTTGCCGTCTCATTCTCTCCAGGACCTGCAGCAACCATCAAAACATTGTTATGTTTGAGCAAACAGGATCTGAGGTATGCTTTTCTGTACAGAACTAGTGGTTCGGTAATAACAGCAGTGGTCTAATCCTTTTCCCCTTTTAAGCAAAACATAATTATGTAAGTTGAAACTTGCAAAAAAAAATCTTGCAAGAGTCAGAACATGAAGTTCTGTACAAAACAAATAAATAGTGGTTTACGATGCATAAAAAACAAAAGGTGTCTCCATGAACTTTTCCTCTAGAAGAGACGAATCTCATGGAATTTCAGATAGAGAGATAATATGTTTGCTTTGTGCAACATCCACTGATTTTTTTTCATTCAAGTAAAATTTAACTGTGAAACTTTACTATGCATAATTTTGAGATGAAGCTAGGAAGTTGCAATTGCCCATCAATCTTATTGGTCTCATTTCTCATAACATCAGCACACCACAACAGTTTATCCTACACAAACATTTTTAACATCCGGTGGTAAAATAGGAGCTGCATATTTTCTTGGCCGTTCTCAATTTTCTAAGATCAACATAAGACCACAGATAGACAGTACAACTATTCAATTAGTGGGAAGAGCTTGAGCAAAACATTGACAAAAACATAGGTAACTTTACAATACAGCATTGGCATCAACAGGCAAACTGCGCACAGAAAAAGCACAGACTGCATGGCGACCACAGTTGTGGAAGCTGGCCAATCAATTCAGAGAATTTTAAAATCATTTAACCAGATTAAATGCCACCACCTAGCCCCAGTTGTAGGAAAATACAATTAATCACATCCACATCGGTTCTGGCCTTAATCATTTTTTAGTTTCTCTACAGCTTTACTTCAGAAGGTATTGCTTTAGTCAAATATGGGCATGATATCTGGATATCACTAGTTGTCAATGGACATTAACATTTCTCATATGAACAAGTCACAGAAACCACAAGTTTAGAAAACTTCTATTTTCAACAATAATAATTGTTGAGTTTTCAAACCATCCATTGCCAACAAAAGAGGCAAAATGATATGATCATAGAGCTATACTATATTCATGATGTTGATAGGGTTGACTGTAATACTTCATGACAAGAGAATCCACATATTATAGAATTCCTTTTGTAGAAAACAGTTTTGTTCACATCAACCAAGTTCGCTGCTAGTAATGAAACGAAAGAGCCTATGGCATGTATCCAGAGCAAAAGTAGCCTCATCAAAATGGGAAGTAATTACCTCATTCCTTTGCTTCTCCAACATTTCGACCTGCAAATTAGAAAAGATAGTCGGTTACTAAACAACAGCAGATGAAAAGATTGTGATCTGTGTTTGAGAAAAAAAAGAAAAGATTGCGATCGCACTACACAAAAAAAAAATAGTCAGACAAGAGGCTGAAAAGCTCACATGTTCTAGTTCAACAGAAATATTGTTGGCAATAAGCAGTATTAACATGAATTAGAATCGAAGAAGATTTCAAATAAAGCAGGCAAGCATCTAGTCATAAATGGTTGCGTTAAATAAAACTAGTCATAAATGGCAGTTACAGCAATTCCTTGGCTGGTAAACTAAATTAAGAGAAAATTACAGAGGAAAAGGACAACTCTTATGAACTAGATGCACACGAAAGATCTATGGTTCTTTTATCTGGACTTTGACTGCATTTCACTTTGTCAAATGCTCTATGGTGGTTATCATTAAAATTATCATCACAAAAAGTGCTACATAGTTCCTTTTGCTAAAAACTAAATGTACTGTGGTGAGCGACAAAAAATAAAAATAAAAAAAATGATAACTTGACCTTTTGAAAACCTAATAAGGTAAATAATGTACAAGTATTTATATAAAAAAAAAGATGTGACAATGTGCTAAAGTACAGAAGGTTCTCTAGAATCCCAAACAATCTCAATTTCAAGTGTGGATATTAATTAAACTATTTGAATTTCACTATTTCAGAAGAAATACTTTCATAAGTTAATATGCATGTGACCCAAGAAAAAAAAATGCAAACATTGTATGAGCATACCTGCTTCTTCTGCAATTCATCGTTTAGCTCTTTAAGTTTTGCCACCTCAGCTTCCAGCTCCATCATATATTCCTGGCAAATATTACAAAGTACAATTATGTCTACTTAAAATCACCAGTAGTTTTAGAAGCCTGAGAGAAAGGAGACTAGATTCATTCAGAAATAGCTTTCACTTAGATTCCTACCAGGGGCGGAGCTACAGGGTATGCTGTATATGCTACAGCATACCCTGCGTTGCTACGATGTACAGGAGTAAATATACGTATTTTGTTAAAAAAAAAAAGAGAAAACAACACCGCGAGTAGCATCTGTCGTTGCGTCAGCGACATCAGGCCGGCCCAGTAGTCACGGCCCAACCCAGCAACGGAAACAGATAGGTCTCGTACAATTCGCGTCGCTTGACTCGCCGGCTCGCCGCCACTCGTGTCGTTCGGTTTTCCCCATCGGCAGACCGCAGACGGCAGTTGCCCAGATCGGAGATCGCCTGATCGTCACCTTCGACTCCGGGATCGCCAGGCATCGAGCAAGTTTGTTCAGGACGCAAAGCACGAAGGCATCGCCAGCCATTCAGGACGCAAGCACCAACAGACGCAAAGCACCAAACAGCCGCAAAGTAAGTATATTTTATTAGATGTGACTTCCAATTTTTTTAGTTGTAATTTGCAATGATGATCCATGCAAATTTTTGATTCAGTTCACTCAAGAAATTATTTGGCGTTGTTGTTCTTTGTAAAATTCATGCAGTTATGAAGAGAGACGGGGACATTGCATCTCTTTATCGGAAGCATGAAGCAAAAAGGAAGGCAGCGGCGGCGGCAGCGGCTGCTACTTCTAATCATTCTCCTAATTCGATTGTACCTGTGGTGGAACAGCAGACTCGTGAGAGAGTAGTTGAGGAAACTGAAAATAATGTGGTACCGCCACCGCCACGACCACAAATTACTTCTTGACTCAACCGATTTATGATATCAATCGTCTTCCACATGATCCAGGTGAAAGACGTCCCATTCGTAGTTATCCAGTTAAGGATCAAGATGCAATTCGAAGAGCATATATTACTAAAGGTCCATTTAAACCCTTTGCACATGATTTTCCGAAAACATGGATTTCAGGACAAAATCGCCAATTCAATTTTTGTTGGATGTACAATCATGAATGGCTTGAGTATAGTATTAAGAAGGATGCTGCATTTTGCTTTATATGCTACTTGTTTAAGAAGGGCAAGGTGGGTCGGAGGCATTTACCGTTGATGGTCGGAATAATTGGAATATAGGAGAGCCTCGCACTTCTCAAACATTTGGGTTCCAAGGCACATATTGCAGCTCAAGAGAGGTACATTGGCTTTATAAATCCCAAGGTAGCAATTGATTATAATATTCGAAGTGGAGTGATGAGGATCTTCGACTTTATAAGAAACGATTGACATTTTCACTTAGGTGTATCAAGTTTCTTTTGCATCAAGGGTTGGCATTTCGTGGACATGATGAAAGTAAAGAATCTAGCAACAGAGGGAACTTCATTGAACTTTTGAAATTTCTTCTTTGAAATAGTGAAGAAGTCAACAAGTATGTTTTGGACAATGCTCCGTAATTGTACCTTAACTAGCCCGGACATACAAAAAGCAAATTATTCACTCACAGCCCCTAGAAACTAGAAAGAAAATAATTGAAGAACTTGGTGATGAGCCCTTTGCAATTTTAGCCGATGAGTCTAGTGATATATCACATAAAGAACAACTAGCTCTTTGCTTGCGTTATGTTGATAAATTGGGAAGGCCATGTGAGCATTTTATTGGAGTTGTTCATGTAGATGATACTACCTCTCTATCACCAAGAGTGCAATTGAAGCTTTACTTGTTAGTCATGGCTTGAGTTTGACTCAAATCCGTGGTCAAGGATATGATGGGGCTAGCAATATGAAAGGAGATATTAAAGGGCTGAAAACATTGATCATGCAAGATTCACCTTCTCGCTTATTATATTCATTGTTTTGCTCATCAACTCCAATTGGTTCTTGTGGTCATTGCTAAGGGAAATACAGATTGCAGCTCCTTTTTTGATCAAGTATCTATCTTATTGAATATTATTGGGGTTTCTTGTAAGCGTCATGACATGCTTAGAAAAGCTAGGCTTGAGAATATCAAGAAAGCACTTGACTGTGGTGAAATTGAATCTGAACCGGATTACATCAAGAAATGGGTTTGTCTAGGCACGAGATACTCGATGGGGATCTCATTACAAAACTATATGCAACATCCTTACTATGTATGAATCAATCCATGATGTAATGGTTGATCTTGGGGATGATCCTACATATAAGGATGATTGGACCAAAATACATTTTGTGACGGGAGCATTTGAGACCTTTGAGTTTGTTTTCTTTGTACATTTAATGTATATTATTCTTGGATACACGAATGAGTTATCTGAGTGTCTACAAAGAAGGGAGCAAGATATTCTCAATGCAATATCACTTGTTAATGTGGCAAAGAAAAGAATGCAACAATTGAGGTCCGATGGTTGGAATACTTTTCTTGAGAAGGTCACCTCATTTTGTGATAAACATGGTGTTGATGTTCCTGCTATGGATGGTGTTTATGTTCCTTATGGAAAATCAACAAGGAAAGCTCGTGCTCGAAAAGCAAACCAATGATGATCACTTCGTAAGAGAAGTATATATTGGTGTCATTGATCAAATAAGTCAAGAACTTGATAATCGGTTTGATGAGATCAATATGGAGTTGTTGTCTTGTATGGTGGCATTCAATCCTTCTAAATCGTTTGAGTCTTTTGATGCGCAGAAGCTACGCAGACTAGCTGAGTTCTACCCAAAGGACTTCTCAAAAATAATTTGCGCAGACTTGAATTGCAGCTAGATAATTATATTGATGACATCAAGCGAGATGATGATAGATTCAAAGGTCTAGAAAATATTGTTGATCTCTCGCTTAAGCTTGTTCAAACGAAGAGACATAAAGTGTATGATATGGTTTATGAGCTTCTCAAATTGGTGCTTTGCTTCTACCGTGGCAACAAAGAAGTGTTGAAAGGGTATTTTCTGCATTGGTTTTAGTGAAAACAAAAACCCGAAACAAGATGGGAGATAGTCTTCTGGATGATTGTCTCGTCACTTTCATTGAGCGAGATATTTTCTTTGAAGTTGATGAAGATGACATAATTGAGACATTTATGTCCCTTCGAACGCGTCGAATAAACTCATCAGCAAGATAACATTGTAAGTCTCTAGTGCTCTATATGAATATATTTGAATTATCAGTTTGGCTTTTGAAACTATTTATATTGTATTTAGTGGATATGATTTCTAATTAATCCATGATTTTAAACCTTATTACAACCTTATTACCGAATTGGAAAGTGGATTTTCTGAATTGCGTATGAAATTTTTTGAGAAGCATACCCTGACCCAAAATTCTAGATTCGCCACTGATTCCTACGTCCTACATCTCCAAGAGATCAGCAGTTTATATTATTATTTTGCAAATAATTGACAAGTTCATATGCTTATACCAATGTAGCATAACTATACATACTACTAAGGCAAATATTCTAGTTTATTTCAAGCAAATCTGACCCAAAAGGATAGTCATGGTGAGATTTTCTCAACACCGTTCCTGCGAAATACAGTACTTAACATGTTGAGGAAAAATAAAACATAAACATTAAACTTACACATGTCAGTGTAACAGTTACTAGTAAGCAGGAAACGTGACGATTTGATACAATTGGGTAAAGACAGCACCAACAATGTACTCACAGACAGAACATTACCTGTTTCTTCTGACGCGACCTCGCGGCGGACTCCCGGTTCTTGATCATCCGTCGTTGCCTCCTCTCAACCACCTTCTCCATAGCTGGTGGCTTCCTTCCCCTCAAACCAACACTGAAAACGTACGGCACCGGTGATGGCGATAGAGACGACAAGTCGTCTCCTTCCAGCTTCCCGAACCCGCTTGCCGTCACCGGCCGAGGCGATACCGCCGGGGCCGCAGAACCACCTCCCTGCTGCTGACCGACAGCCCCCGACACCAACCCATTCCCGAATTGCAGCGGAGGCACCAAGGGATCAAACACAATGCCATGGGGAAACAGCATTGGCGGCTGCGGAGGAGGTGGCGGGCACACCGGCGCCGGTGGTACGGGCGGCGGTGCCGTCATGTCCTCCCTCACCACGCCTGCGCGGACGAGGAACTCCTCCAGCGTGATCTCCCCGAGCGTGGGCTGCCGCTGGGCCGGCGGGGGCGGCGCCGCAGCCTCGGCGGGCGCGGTGGAGGGTCCTCCGCCGACGCACATGAGGTCGCGCCAGACCTCGTCGACGGTCTTCTGGCTGAGCGTGCGGGGGAGGGTGAGCGAGCCCTGGCGCTGGATGGACGACCCCCGCGCGGCGTGGGCGTGGTCCGCCGCCGCCGACGCGTTGGCGGCCGCGACGTTGTGTATCTCCTCCGCCGACCAGATGCTGCGGAGGAACTCGTCCATGTTCATGGACCCGAAGTCCTTGGCGGCCCCGCCGAGCGAGCTCTGGAACTCGTCGAACGTGAGCGAGTACACCGACCCCTGCCGCGTCAGCGGGAGCGGCGTCATCGGCGGCAGGTGCTCCGGCTCCAGCTGCTGCTGCCGCCTCCCGCTTCCTCCCGGGAAATTCATCCCTGATTCGCGTCACCCACCCACCAAACTCGACCCAATCGACGCTTCGAAAGAGCCCTCGCAAGCACAAGCACGCGCACGCCCAGAGGCCGAACGGAGCCGCCAATCAGGTGAGCTCAGAGCAGGGGTTAGGCGGAGCAGAGTGGCCTAGAGACAGGAGATACCAGAATTAGCAAGGGAAATTCCACGGATCAAGAGGAATTTGGTGGGGAGACCTGAGAAGCGAGGTGAACGACGCGCGTTGGTGTCTGGCCGCGGGTGCGGGAGGGAAAGAGGAAGACCGCGGCGGCGAGGCGAGGCGAGGCGAGGGGGGATGGGTGGACAGGTGTCGCCCCCGAGGAGCCGTGTGGGGGCGTTTAAAATGCCGCCAGGCCCGAGGCCGCGACGAAATCTCAACGGAGTTGGGTGCGCGCCAGGTAATAAAGCACTAGTCCCCCCTTTGGATTTTGGCCTCGCGCACGCCGCACCCGTACACAGACAGACGCCTAAGATCTCGCGCCTGCCCATCGGCCACCGCTGATTCGGTGGGTGATTCCGCTCCTCGTGCTGGGAAGGACTGGGGGCTGGGATGATCGAAATGCCGGCGGGGCCGGCACATCAGTGATGTACGGAATCTGCTGGGTGCAGCGCGCGGGTGGGACAAGGCTTTTTTTCTTCCAGCTCCCGTTCGTTGGACAGAACGTGGTGTGGTGGTGGGCTACGCCGCTCCGGAGCGCGCAACGTGGCGGCCTCCGCACGACGCTGACGGCCTGCGACGCGACGGGCTGCCCAATGGGGGCGCGCAAGGTGGGAGCATCTGGGCGCGCGCAGCCAAAGGGATTGAACGGACGGATCGGGGACCGGCCACCGGCCATGACACGGCGCACCGCACCCCACGTCGTCTCACCGGTCACCGCTGATTGGCTGTGGGCCGTCTCTTGCCGCGTTTGTCTACGGTATGTACTGAGAGCAGGGGGTAGTGCAGTGCAGGTGTCCAGGCGAGTCCGCGTCTCCGCGAGCACTGGCCAGTGTTCGAAACCGTGGACACGGCCAAAACCTGAAATCGTGCACTGTACAAATGGATCAGCCTCACGTCGACGTCTGGGGTGATGTGATGAACCCCTAAAACGCGGACACACGCGTGTCGTCGCCTCGAGCCCTCGACGATAAGGCTGATGCGGGTTTTGGAGTCTGTGCTTGTTGATGCCGACTGCGCCTACATGTTTCGATTGATGCAGCATTTCGTCAGGGAACCACTTTTTTAAGTTATCACAGCAGATCTTTGTTTAGGCGTGACTTCTATACTGGGCCAGGTGCCAACGAGCAATTTGTACTCCTGGCGATACTTTCTTTGCCGCTTACCCCTCCTTGGGTTTAAATGTCACCTTTATTAATCACGAAGCCAAGCCTGCTTTTCTTCCAAACAGGAAAATGCAGAAACGTAATAGATTTAGTGGACATTTTAATACTAGTAGATATTTGGGGTTGATTATGTCACCTACCTAAGTAATATTGTAAAAATGATTAGGCCTGCTCGGCAGTGCTGGCTGTAGCAGCACCCCTCAGCACTCAACAGCAACTATAGGAATCAAGCCACAGCCACAGCTAACAGCTGCTCCTAAAAAGGTGCAACTGAGCAGGGCCATTGTTCAGATCAGTTGCCTTTCAAATTTAATTTCTTGTCATCTTTTGTTTAATTTCTACCTTCAAACACTTGATTGGACTAAGTATCTCTAAGAGTTTTTCTTAAACTTATTCTCTAAATCTACTAGGTAAATGCATGTGCGTTGCAATGGGAACACATAATACCATGATAACATATGTATGAGCGTATGTTATACTGTTATCTAAAATAGATACCGCAATCATAATGTTTCAATCAATATTGCATAAGTCTTCACGAAATATAGATAGTTAAAATATAACTCTAAATATGAATGCAAAACTAAACAGAAATGCTATACAATATATATGTGTTTTAGTGAAAAAAAACACATGAATTTTTTTTATCTCTCTCCCTCTCTTTCTCATCGGTGACCACCGGCGCCGGCGCCGGCGACTGGCGAGCTCGCCCTGGCACCCGCTGCGCCTCCCCGCGCCCGCGCCGGCCATGGCAGTGGCGGTAGCGGTGGCGGCGGTCTGTGATTTGTCCTTTCATAGAAAAAAATTATGATATGTGATCTATGATCTATGGAGGCTGGAGGTAGAAGAAGGGTGGAGGCTGTTGGATCTTAATCCTATGGTGTAAAAAAATTCATGTGTTGAAATTGCATAAAACACATGATTGTGTAGTAGACAGACTCAAACTAAAACATCAACTTCAATTGTCGCATCACTTCATGCCTACGATACGCGAAAGATAAGCTTGCACTTCTTTAGGAATCAAGTGCTACGGAAAGATAATCATAACAAGTTTGTGTTTCACAATACATATTTTAAAATCTATTCTACAATTAAGAATCTAATCTCTCAACAGTTCGACTAAGAGAACGTGCTTTGCACGAATACCAAGCTGCAGTTGGTCACCAATCAATGATGATCCAGAAGATTTTCTAGTCCAAGATGCGACATCTACGCTTCTTGCAGCTGAAGCATACAGATGGCTGAAGCTGTAGTTAGAAGTATCCTGCATATAAGTTGTTTGTTAATTTTTAAGTTAAAGTATAATTTGATATTCTAAAAAAATATATATCGACGTGTGATGCATTATCTCTTTTATGGAGTTAGAACCTCTTTATATACTATATTCTTTGTGAACATATCATTTGTCGCTTTCTTCTTCCTTTTCCCTTGTTCACGTCCTTCTCAGTAGCCGGCACGGCTAGAATCCTAATGTTCGATCTTGTCGTAGCTCTTGATAGCGCTACATACAATTGGTCGTGCGAGAACACTAGTTCCGGCAAGTATACCCCGATGTTAGGGATAGTCTGCCCCTGTGACTTGTTAACGGTCATCGCGAAGCTGAGCCGGATAGGAAACTGCTTTCGCTTAAATTGGAAAGAGAACATCTCATCGTCCGATGGGTATAAGGGTATACGAGGCAATAGTTATGAATGTTAACAAAAGTTAGAGGCGATGGGAAAAATATTGATGGAGAAAGACATAATTTGGAAGGTGAAGGCCTACGTATATGTAGTAGAGTTCCAGAAGAGGGGCTTGCCGCATGCACACTTCTTGCTAATCATGTGCGGGTATGACATGCATCATGTGCGGGTAGGATGCGCACCGATATCGAGCCCATGGTGGCCACGTCCTAGAGCCGTAGGAGGGGGCAACGAACACAACACTACGAAGTCAACAAAAAATGAGGGGTCAAGTTACGCTCGGCATCACGGTCACGGCAGGACGAACCCACGACTGAAACGTTCGAAGGAGGTATGATCCCTCGACCAGCTCAAAGGCTCGGTCCATAGATAGACAACACAAACACACAACGAACCAACACACAAACTGAAAGCTCTAGTTTGGTTTTGGTGAATTGATGAAACCCTATGTGCTAACCTAGTTTATCAAGTGATCATGAGATAGGTAGCACACTCCGAGTGATGAAGCAAATGAAGATCATAGCATGATAAAGATGATGGCATGGTGATGATCAAGTGCTTCGACTTGGAAAGAAGAAAAAGAAAAAGAAAAAGCTTAAGGCAAAGGTATAAATTGTAGGAGCCATTTTGTTTTGGTGATCAAGACACTTAGAGAGTGTGATCACATTTAGGTTTGATAGCCGTACTATTAAGAGGGGTGAAACTCGTATCGGAATGCGGTTATCAAAGTGCCACTAGATGCTCTAACTCATTACATATGCATTTAGGATCTAGTGGAGTGCTAACATCCTTGAAAATATTTGTGAAAATACGCTAACACATGTGCACAAGGTGATACACTTGGTGGTTGGCACATTTGATCAAGGGTGAAGAAGTTAGAGGTGAAATGGAGTTGGTCGCAATGATGCCGGCGTCGGTCTTCTGACCGGACGCTGGGTCACTCAGCGACCGAACGCTGAAAGGCTGCGTCCGGTCGAGCTGTCAGACGGCACAGTGATGAGGGTTAAGCACCGGACGCTGGGTTGTGTCCGATTAAGCCTAACCGGACGCGTCCGATCGGCAAAAATAGGATTTGGACCCTTACTGGAAACGACCGGACACTGAGGCTCCAGCGTCCGGTCAACAGTGTCGGAGCATCCGATCAACTTTTCAACCATTGAGATCAAACATTCACAGTTGAAGGCAGGAGACACGTGGCCGCCATCGGGCGATCGGACGCTGAGGAGCAGCGTCCGGTCACCCCGATCAATGCCCAGTAAAGGGGTACAACGGCTCTATTTCGTGGGGGCTTCTATTTAAGCCCCATGGCCGGCTCAAGCTCACTCTCTTGACCATTTGCATTGATATAGCAACCTTGTGAGCTTAGCCAAAGCCCTCCCACTCATTTCCATCATAGATTAAACATCTTTATGAGATTGGGAGTGATCCAAGTGCATTGCTTGAGTGATTGCATCTAGAGCCACTTGGTGTTTGTGTTTCGCTGCGGATTTCGCTTGTTACTCTTGGTGGTTGCCGCCACCTAGACGGCTTGGAGCAGCAAGGATCGTCGAGCGGAGGGTGATGATTGTCTCCGGCTCCGATCGTAGTGATTGTGAGGGGTTCTTGACCTTTCCCCGGCGGAGCGTCAAAAGGTACTCTAGTGAATTGCTCGTGGCTTGTGTGATCCTCATCTTGTGTTGGTTGTGCGGCACCCTATTGAGGGTTTGGCGTGTGAGGCCAATTAGCGTGTGAACCTCCAAGTGAGTGAATCGCCACAACGAGGAGTAGCTTGCCGGCAAGCAAGTGAACCTCGGTAAAAAATCATTGTGTTCATCATTTGATTCCGAGGTGATTGGTCTTCATTGTTATTCATCCTTGTGATTGATTGGTTCCTTCATCTACATGGCGGTATAACTTTCTTGATCACTCTCTTTA